CCCAGCCTTCACTCCCGCATTCCTCTGCCCCACCTCTTTTCTTTCTCTGAGTACCTTAAAAACAGGCTTATTACCTCCATTAAACAGACCTTGACAAGGAATCTGCTTGGTCTCGTTCTCTCTTTCTCGCCCATTCTTCTTCAGGCTGGGTCCCCCTCGCCCCACGAATAACCGTGTCCCGCAGGACAGGACAGATCCATTCATGGATTGATGGACACAGGCTTCTTCCATGACCTGGCAATTATGAATTGGGCTGCAATAAACATTCTGATACAAATATTTTTGTTGTAATGTGATTTTTGGTCTTCTGGGTATATACCTAATAAAGGAATTGCAGGATGCCTTCCTCAATTCTCTACAGACCTTTCTCCCTTGGGCACTCCCTAATAAACTTCTGTACTCAAGTCTACGTCTCTGAGCATGTTTCCTTGGACCCAATTAAGTCAGAGCCTTTACATAGTATGTTTTCTTTTTATTAATAAAATATTGCTTTGATTTGAATGTTTCCTCTAAAACATATGTCAAAATGTAATTGCCATTCTGACGGTATTAATAGAAGGAGCCTTTAGAGGTGATTAGGTCATGAGGGATTTTCTTCATGAATGGATAGTACCATTATTGTAGGAGTAGGTTAGTTATCTCTGGACTTTAGTCTCCCTTTTTTTCCTCTATCTCATATGCAATTACCCTCTCCAGCTCTCTCTCACCATGAGATAGATGCCTTCCACCCTGTGTCAATGCCACAAAAAGGGCCTTATCAAATGTGGACCCTTCATCTTTGACTTCCAAACCCCTAGAACTATGAGCCAAATAAACTTCTATCTATTATTTACAAATTTCTCAATCTATGATATCCTGTTATTACAGCTGATAATGGGCTAAGGAAAATACCAAATTATAAACACATTAACATAATTATGCTCTGTGGGAAACAGTAAAACTAAAAAAGCAAACTAATGTAAAAATTTTTCTGAAAGTTTCCTGGTCTTGGGGTGGAAATCAGTAGCAGACAGCAGCAATCTCTGCTATGAGGAAAGTCTAGGTGAGAGGAATGAGGCAAAAGCAAGGCCCGTGAGGGATGCTGCTATGAGCTGTCAGCCACTGATGTGCCCTGCAGCTGGGGACTGAGTGGGTTTATCACTCTGACCAAGGGATCTGAGCAGAGCAACATAGTATATACTCCAGAACTATAGCATATAACTGAGCTCCACAGCAAGATGGCCTGTGTTCATATCCTAGTTTGACTATTCACTAGCTGTGTTACCTTGGGCTATTTAACCTTTTTGTGCCTCAGTTTCCTCATAGTAAAGTGGAGTGGAGATAATCTTAATTACAGTGGAACCTCCATAGTTGACCACCTCCTTAAGTTGACCTAATTTTCATAGACTGGACATGCACCACATGTATGTATCAGTACAGTAAACCTAGTTCTTTATGTTGACCACCTCCATACATTGACCAGTTTGTTACAATCCCTTGGGTAGTCAATTTAGACAGTCAATTTTAGGTAGTCAATTTAAATGTATTTATTGTCTGTTGAGTTACTATACTTTTTTGAACAGTAGGCCCTACTCTGATAATGGCTTGTAAAATCAATGTGTGAGTTTCAGCATTTAAAAAAAAATCAAATAGAATACAATAGATACGCTTTCATGATAACATGTTCTAAAAGCAAGCTATGGGGAAATAGGCACTGTCATATGTCTCTAGTGGCAGTGTTAAATGGTACAATTGCTGTTGTGATGGACTGTCATAAAGTGGTCCCTCATGTATCCTAGCTTCCTGTACTCATACCCTGGGTAGTCTCCTTCCAAATGAACCTGAACTAGACCTGTGACTTACTTTGATCAACCAAATACAGTGAAGGGAAAGTTATATGAACTCTAAGCCCATGCCATGGAGTTTGCATTTCTGCTCACTGTGAAGCCAGGGCCATGTAAAGTGTGGGCAGTGCTGCCTGAGGGACCACATCAGAGGAAGACCCTGCTGCGTTTAACCATCCAGATGAGGGTCATTTGTGAGTGAGGCCATCTCCGATCTTTCAGCCCAAATAGAGGCTTTGTGAACAAGCTCCTTTGGCACCTCAAGTGGCATAGATGACTTGTCTTAGCTGAGCCCTGCCCAGCCAACTCACAGAGCTGTGATAAATACTAAAAATTGCTGTGTTTTAAATCATTAATATTTGGGATGATTTGTTATGAAACCAAAGCCAACTGAAATAGGTATGGAAGAAAATTTGGTAATATCTAAGGAAACCACATATGTATTTAATCTTTAACCTGTAATTCCCACATCTGGGGACCTACTCTGAAGCTATATCCACAACAGTAACAAAACGTTACAAGTTTACTCATTGTGTCGTTATTTGTAACAGCAAGGTATTAGAGATGCCCTAAATGCTATGCAGGGGATATTAGTTAGAGAAGTTTGTAGAGAAGCCAAGAAGGATTTTAGGTGAAGCAGGGAAAGGGAAGTTCAGCCCCACAGTGCAGAATGGGCTGTTCTATTAAGATTAGCTTGGCTGTGAGGTGGAGTCCAGCCAAGGAAGGTGAACATGGTGGCTTCTATGCTGCAAGGCCACCTCCTCCCCCAGCCCTGAGAGGACACTTGTTTCTTGGGAACGAAGCAAGTATCAGAAAGAAGATATGGGGGAGAGAGAATTGAGAGAGGATAAGCAGGCTGTGGGAGGGGAGGGTTCAAGCCAAAGGTGTGCAAATAACTTAGGAGAAAAGACAAAGTGGCACACGACCTAAGGATGCTCAATAATTTGCTCCTTGCAGAACTTCTTTTCCTTGGCTTTTAAGATCTGCCATCCGATCCTCTGATAGCTCCTGCTCGGTCCACCCAAGAGTGAGGAACAGAGCTCAAGTGGCAAGGCACATTGCC